ATATTTGATTCTAAATCTACTCAAATAAAAATCTTTAAACTTTAAAGTTAACCTCCATAATGCAAGTCTTTCATCAACTCTCTCTCTCTCTCTCTCTCTCTCTCTCTCTCTCTCTCTCTTTCTCTATTCTTATAAAAAAGAAGAATATTATCATAAAAAAACATGCAACAACTAAATAGTAGTGATCAAAAGTTATATCAAATGAAGCATTATTCTCTTGCGATGGTTTGATTTTTCTAGCTGGTGTCTTTTAAGAGATTGCTATTATAATTTTGTTTGGAATAGCTTTCTTACAATTTTATAATATAAATTTTTAGTACAATAATTTCTTGTTCAAAAAAATTTATACTATATAAAGCATTACTAATGTTGCCTCAAACTAAGAATATATCTCATGGTTATTAGTTATGAAATTTAGATAAAGAAGTTTTTTTTCAATATTTTATGTTTTAACCGTGAGACTGAACCATACTAAGCTTTTTTGTCTCTTATGTTGTTGATCTTAGTATTTACTGTTTTAATTTTGTAATGATATTTTTTATAAGTGTTTTCTTCTAAGAAAAAAATTCAGATATTATCTGGTTCAGGTCCAATGTTTTTTAAATATTTAAATTTAAAAAATTTAAACTTCCATCATCCAAAATAAATCGATGAGCTGAACCCTGAAAGTCTCATATGAAAACCTAATCAACAAATTAACCATAGCATAAGCGGCTTATGCATACAGACCATTCTCTTCTTTGTTTTTTGCCTTCTGGTTGGTGTGCTCTGTTGGTTGGGGATGCTTTGTGTGTTTATTTGGTTTTTCAGTTGGTTGTTAGGTTGGATTTAGCTGGCGTTGCAGTTTGGTTATGGGCCTTGTGGGTTTGTGACTCGATTGTGGTGGTTTGTCGGTTGTGCTGTCAGATTGGGTTTGATTGGGGATATGTGTTGGTGGCCAGGCGGAAGGGATGCTCACTTCATGGTTGTTCAGTGGGTTTTTTCTTTGTCGTTTGTTGTAGTTTGGATTGCTACTTCTATTTGTTGGGGCTTGTGGTTTGTGCGTTATTGTCCTTCTGGGAGTCATTCTTTTGGCTTGTTTGGTTTGGATTATCTTTTTATAGGTATATGTGGTGCTCGTCGTTGCGGGTTTGACGGTCATCTTGCTCGGGTTGATGTTCTGCTTCGACCGCTCATTGGCTTTTTTAGATGGTCTTTTAGGGGATTCGGTCTTCTTTTCTTTTACTTTGGTTTTGTAATAGTTTGAATTAACGACTCGTAGGAGCATACTGACCAAAAAGAAAATAGAGAAAAATTTTATAATAGGATCATAAAAATCCTATAAAGACTAGTTATATATCTGCAATTATGGCTTCGTTTGGGACGACTTTTTTACTGCTTTCTAAAACGGAGTTTTAATAAAAAAATAAAAAAATTTGTACTAAAACTCCGTTTTATAAAGCAATAAAAAAGCCGTCCCAAATGAAGCCTATGACATCATGCAGCTCATGTGAGTCTGTTGGTCGAGAATTTTGACTATTAATTAAAAAATCTAGGATTTGAAGCTTCCGAATGTGATAAGTGTTTAAATATACCTTAACGATTCAAATGTCCCAAAATAAAGCAATGAATGACATCAGAGGCTAACACAAATCACACTTATATGAAAGAGGGTTATTCTCCTATATATCATTCAACTAACTCAACTCATCGCCCACCACCACCTGAACCAGATCCAGACCCATACCCATGACCTGAGCCGGACCCAAACCCAGACCTAGACCCATTTCCTTCACCACGTCTCTCACCATTCCCATGTCCCCTCCCTTGACCCGATCAAGCCAGATCCTTCTCCAGAACCCGTGCCTGAACCTGAACCCGACCCAACATTAGATCCTGCATATGATCCAGAGCCAGACCCTGATGCAGCCACAGAGCAACAACAAAACCGCTATTATTATAAAATTGCACGACTCTCGTTGATCTCAAGTTTTGTTCTTACGGTAATATGGTGATACGATAAGAGAAAATAATCAGCAAGGGCTGCTCTGAAATTATCTAGAAGTTGAGGTGAATGCTATAAAATGGAGGAGACGTGCAAAAGCTTAGAGGAGGCAAGCCTGACTACGCATGCACAGGGGCACTATACTTGCTTTAAGGTTTTGTGGGCGACGCACTAAGAGGCAAAGCTAGCTCGTCAACCCATTCTGACAACCCTATGTCAACGGGATCTTATTAGGCTGAATTGGGACTCGAAATTACAAATTAAGGTCTCTCAAGAACTTGATAAAGAACCACTTTCCTTCCAAAATAAGCATGATGCATTCATTGTGAGTTGTAACGCATTATATGCTTTAATATAATTGCCGGTCTCTTTCTTTTCCACTTCATCATGTTTAGCCTATGCTATTATTTATATAAGCATGTATCACATAAAATTAATTTGATTATTAAATTGACAAAATTGATTTGATAATTTCTTTTATTAATACAAAGAAATTTCATATATTTTACTTCACTTAATATGAGTGTAATGACTCACCAATAGATTCAAATGGACTTTTGTAAGGGATCATGCCACTATTGAGGTTAAACTTGCTGTGTTTTTGTTCCTAGATTTATGATTGCTTTAGTTTAGGTTTCTTGTATGGCCATTTGTGTTGCTTTTGTATAGCCTTAGGTGCCTATTAATAGGCTTTAGTTTGTATTAGGAATCGGAGCCAAGAGAGAAATAAAGATTTGCTGTATTCGGCTCTCCTCCCTCTCCTCTCTCTCCCTCCTCCTCTCTCAAGATCCGGTGGAAGTGCTTTATTCCACAAGGAAAGAATCTCACAAAACTCTTGTAAACAAAATTTGTCTACTCCATTTCTTCCTTCATATATTGGGTTTCACTTATGAGTGAAGTGTTCCTTCAAAGTGATATGGATTCTTCTATCTTTCACGTGAATTCTCTCACCCTCAATGTACTGTGAATATAAGCTACAAAGCTGAATCACGTAAAATCCCTTGTTCGTTTGCTTTTATCACCATCCACCTACCGTGTGCGCTTCTTCTCCCTTTCTACTTCATCTGCTCATCCATGGGCTATTGGGCTCTCCTCTTCTCTTTCTTGTCACTTGGTTTCTCTCTCAATTCAACCAAGTGAACCAACACTATGACCATTTCATTCTTCCCTCCAACATAAAAACATCTTAGGGCCAAGGGCTAGCTAGCCCTCTTCATCCTCTCTCTAAGAGAAATTATTAGGTGCGGACACCGGACGAAAAGAACCGTCCGATTTTCTCTTTGTCTACACAAGTCATAATCACCTCATCTTTGAATCCATGAACATAATAAGTAAAAGCTCACAACTCCTAACTAAGAGATTTGACGCCATTTTTTGTAATTGCCACATAGAGGTCTTTGGGCTTAAACTAGTGATTAATTAATCTTCAATTTAATTAAAAGACCTTTTTATGGTACATCTCGTATAATGGAAACATCCTTTACCAAACTCATGAACTGTCCAAGTTCCCCAGGCTTCACCAACCGCATATTGCAGACCGAGTCCACGTACGCTGTAGCAAAACACCACGTTATTCTTCCACTTCCACCGAAAAAGAAGTCACTTCGAAGTGGCCTCCTACCTTCTCCTATATATATGCAGAAACTTGCATCCTCCAAGACTCAAATCAATAGCTATCTTGAATTCCTTGCTGCAATATAAAGGTATCTTGTTTGGGAATCGCTGCTACAAAATGGCCTCATCAAAGACACTGCCTTTGCTTCTTTTCATTGCTTGTATTTCCATGGCCATGGTTACCAACGGTCGAAAGACAAGAAAGGACCTTGATCTTAACTTGGGTGGTGGCGGCGGTCTTGGCGTTGGTATTGGTGTTGGCATTGGTTTAGGTGGTGGCAGTGGTGGCTCCTCTGGATCCGGGTCTGGCTCTGGTTCTGGCTCTGGCTCCGGGTCTGGCTCTGGATCTGGCTCTGGCTCTGGATCTGGTTCCGGCTCCGGATCTGGTTCTGGCTCGGGTTCTGGAGCAGGTTCATATGCTGGTTCTGGGGCTGGATCTTCTGCAGGGTCCGGCGGTTCGGGAGCTGGATCGAGTGCCGGTTCTGGAGCTGGCTCTGGTGCTGGTGGTGGATCGGGCGAGGGATCTGGATATGGAGGAGGGCGTGGGAGGGGAAGTGGTTCAGGCTATGGCCAAGGATATGGCGAAGGTTATGGTGGAGGAAATGGGAAGTAGAAACATCATTAGTTTAAATTAAGAGCTTGATTTGCAATGCTTTGTAAAAGAAAAAATAATAAGATAATGAGTGAATATTACTGTACTGAGTTTTAGTTATACCGTCTTGAAAGCATTCATTATGAATAAATGATCTTCTGATCAGATATTGGTCATTATATCTCATGCTTATAGTAGTTACGTACTATGAAATTCAAATAAAATTTGTGCCTAATTGCAAGAATTGAAGAATTAGAATGCCTCCCATGTTATCTATGAATTAGAGACCTTTTAGCCAAAGTATCATCGCCTTAACTTTGGCAATTGCTTGTGGTAAAAATATAATTTTTGGAGAAAATTTTGGCCCATGTATATATATCAAAATTGCTTTCTCAATATGAATAATCATATTTAATGAAAAAAAATAAAAATAAAAGGATTAAGCCTTCGTTTGGGGGGCTTTATTACTGCTTTTTAAAACAATTTTTTAGAACAAAATTTTTATTTTGTGTACTAAAAAAATGCTTTAAGAAGTAATAAGAAAGCCGTCTCAAATCAGTCTAAAAGATATTTCGTACAACTCAGCTTACAAAGTTAAATGAAAATATTGAATAAAATATTCTGATAATTATTATTTTTTAGTTTTATTATAAGATAAGTATAATCTAATTAGTTTTTTGCTTTTGAACTACATGAAAAATTAAATTTAATAATTTTGCAATTTATTATAACTATTTGTTTTATAATTTTATCTGATATAAATATTGGGTCTCAAATAGTGCCGAAGGGCAAATGATTACGTCCGGATTCGTCCGGACACTAATCCAGACGCGTCACGTCGCCAAAATACACCGGATCCCAGTGTATTTGGTGACGTGACACATTTGGATTGGACGTCCGGATGTCCGGTGACCAGACATAATAATTCGCCGTGCCGAAGATTGAGAACAAGCCTTTCCAACGCGTCAAAGTAATAAGCAAAAAAGAAGGCCACAATATTCTAAAATAGAGAAAACTTTACCTTCAAAGATAGCATTTTCCAAACATTCACCAAATTCTCCAATCAGGTAGATGGTCACGTGTTTTCCATTTTCCTTCCTACTAACAATTTGCTTTTCAAGATAAAAATACCAGTTTTGAGCACCGTTGTTTTGGAACTTCCCATTTCCCCGTTTCATCCAACATAGTGGCGAAGTCAGAATTTTTTTTTTTTTTACGAGGGATCCAATTTTAATCTTGCTTAAGTTGATTTTTATATTCAAATTCAATTAATCACTTTAATGATTACATATCTTATAAAAAATTAATATATTCTATAAAGATATGATTGCAAATTAAAAAAGGGAATGAGATTTTTTTTTTTGAAACATTGCATGTTTACATAATATAAATCTAATAATTTTATATATGATTTTGAAATGTATATTTATTAATATACAAATTTGAATTATATCCACAATCAATTTGTTGGAAATAATGAACTATCCATCTTCGTATAAGAGTAATTCAAATTTGTGAAAACTTAGCACCCTATTGAAAACTATATCATTTATATAACTTTAAGATGAACTTAATATCTTCACATCATATTAAAAATCTTCTGAGGCCTATAACTTCTGAGAATTTTTAGAAAAATCTATACATTCAAAGGCTTAAGTTTTTTGAGATTTTTTTATAACCAAAAAACTTATACATTATAGGCTTTTAGCCTTTTGAGATTTTATTGAACAAAAGAGAGTTAAACTTTTTAAGAATTTTAGCTTTTAGGAATTTTTTTGATAATCTAAAAATATGCACCTCTCAATGCTTTTAGTCTTTTTAAATTTGTGGAGAATAAGAAAACTTATAGCTTTTAAGATTCTAGCCATAGGTTTTTAAAATTGAAAAAAACATAAATCTTTTGAGGCTTTTAGTGTTTTTCAGGTTTTTCGGTTGTGTCAAATATTCAAAAGATTTATGTTTTTTTCAATTCTCTAAAATTCTGAAAAATTTTTGGGTTGACTTTTCGGGTCGTGTCAAATATTGATGCCCCTATCTAATACGAAGCTTTCCATGAATTACAAGTGGAGAACCTATCTATAACTTGATCTCATGAGGTCGTTCTAGTGAGGACCCTATTCACTACTATCTTTCAATTGAGGTTATCTCATGGGAGTGCCTTATAAATATTTTTGTTAAATATAATAATATTTATAAAATGAAGATTCCATAAATAATGTAAATAGTTACTTATTGAAAAGATGCATTTTTATCTTAAATAGGAGTCAAGATATACATTTTCTTAAAATTTTTTAATGAGATGAGGAGCTCAGCTTCTTCAAGTTGTTTAACTGAAGGCATCTCCAACGAAGAACTCCATTTTTCACGGCAAAAAACAACAAAACTCTAAAATGCCGTGGTGCTGCTCCAATCGAACGCCATTTTATGTGCTTTTGCAAAGGTAACGATCCTTCTCCCTTTCGCGCGTTTTTCCGGTTGAGAGAGCAAAATAGCGTAAATGACAAAAAATTTGGCGTTCGGCTGGAACGACCGAACAACGCCATATGCTCTTTTCGCGTTCGGTTGGAGATGCTCTGATGAAATCTTATAGTATATGATAAAAAATATGTCACGATGACACTCAGTATTTAATATTTATGATATTTTCTTGCTAAAACTCTTCTAATAATATCTAGTTTTAGGCTAATCTATATGTTGTTATTATAAACAATAGCTTATATGTCATTAGTGAAATGGAAGTTCAATCTCTTCATTTAACTAAAAATATTATGTTAAATGCTCTCCTAAATGGTCGTAGTGATAATATTGAAAATAACACTTATCATTTAAAACAATTATCAATTTTCTTCATTATAAATTTCCAATATATATTATCAAACTAACCTTAAAAAATATTTCTCCACATTTAATTTTTGCAATCAAACACTTCAATTTTATAAAATATTGTATTCACTCAACTAAAATTTTAAAAAGCCAAGTATTCTCAATACTTACTCGTAGTAGTCCCATGACAAATACGAAAATTTAACTTTTTATGCCTCGTAATTTCTAAAAGTTGAGAAATATATCTGTTGTTTGTTTTATTATGAAAATATGTTTGGAAGTTTATTTTAGATAAAATTATCCCCTCTTTATCCCTGCAAATTGCTTATTGAAGTTCATATATAGCAAGCAAAATTGGGCTCAACTTTGTTGGAATCATAGCCAAATTCCAGTCTAAGTCAAAGCTTTGTTCGAACCATGGCTTGAACCTTGGAAAATCCCTTCTCGACCACGAATTAAAAACCAAGTGAATTTTTGAACTGTTAGGTGTATGTTTTACAAATCAATTTCATTAGAGCTTTTTTAAACATCTTAGCTAATTTATGAATGGTTTTCTATAATTTTTAGAGATATTAAATAATTTATATGAATTTTATGTTAAAATTTGAACAAATTACATAATTAGTTAATTACCTTTGTATCATATTATTATTTTATTCTAAATATATTAAACCACTTACAAAGTCCATTAAAAGCCATTTTTGCATTCATTTTGGCTAACTGAGAAGAAGAAAAAGGAAATTAGAGAAGAAAAAGAGATTGAGAGAGAAAAAAGAGACTATAATTTAGAGGTCATAAAGTGATTTTTGCTAGTTGGTTCAATTAAGAAAGTTGCTAATTTTAAGATACGCTATCATTATTCTACCTCTGACTTCAATCATTTCATGTATTTTGTATTTTCTGAATTTTAATTTGGTTAGAATATATAAAAATTGTGATACTCGATTTTTAGCAAATTTTAACCGTGTAATTTTTAATTAATATGTTATAGTTTTAAACATTATGTGTATATTAACATGATCATATTGAATTTTTTTTTTTATATTTTTGTATTTTGGCAAAAATATTCTAATTTTGGATAAATTTAAAAATAGTAATAAAAATTAATTTCATATGACTATATGATATCCATACTTGTCATAATTTAGCTATTGTGAGCACATACATGTGAAAAAGAGCACAATGTATTTTTTTTAATGAATTTTACTAATTTTGATTAATATGTAAATTTTTCATGCATTAATATATTACAATGAACTAAACATTGAGTGTGACATTAGATATTTATTATGTTATATATGTTGTGAAATGTGTGAAGGCAGGTCAGAAATGATTGGTTGATTCATATTAATTTGAGATATATTACCCTATAGAAGAGGATGGACTGATTGACTTTCTTTTAAAATAATGTTTGTTGTGTAATCATAAATTATATGAAAAGAGAGATATAAGGGATATGATACGCAAATGGGTAGAAAGTATGACTTTTAATATGAAAGCTACTTGACTTAAATAACTTGTGATATGACTGAGACTGATTTATATAAAGTTGGCATACATGACTAAATACTAATAAACACCACATATAGCTGGATGACTTTTCTTGCTTGCAGTGCTTGCATATGCATATATATATATATATATATATAATAAATTACATAATTAACATAACATGCTTTACATAAGAAATATGATATGACTTATACAAGTATTTGATAAGACTGAAAAAATTAATACAAATGCATTTGATATATATATATAAACCACAGAATTTACATGATATACATGCATAGCATAGACATTGTACGTCATACATATGATAATGAAAGATATACTTATGTAATAAGATGCTATATAAATTCTTTTGTAACTATTAGGTATAAGATTAACAAAACTTATCGATCACTATTCACTTGATTATTGATCATTTTTCTTAAGATATACAATTATAATGATGCTTATTGATTATATGACATGCTAATATTTCATTGATTGTTCTACGCCTTTACAGTTATATGTTAATACTGATAGCGATTGAACAATTACATGCATTCTTTTCACATTATATTACATTGATTTTCATTCTAGGTTTTGATAACATATTAAGCTGTTAGTTCACTCTATAGTTTTGCATATTTTCAGCTAGAGATCATGATCCAGTGGAGTAAGAACAAATCATAAATTCCTTTTTTTTATGCTGTTTTTCTAGTTTAAATCTTTTTTAGTCATGAGTTTAGAAAGTTGAAATGAATATAATGATTGATCTCCTGGCTTTTGTACAAGAATTTTAAGGGATGAATATAGTTTTATACTTTGGTATATATTATTTTTAATTGCTTTCGTTGGATTGCTTTATACTGATGAATTAAGAAATTAAAATAAGCAATTCTTCCAAAATTTAACCTTGGGGTGTTACTTACATAGGGGAACTCCACCATGACATACCTTCAAGCAATTCCCATCACAAAATAACTTTGAAAAACTCTCAATAAAAACTCTTGAAATACTCATCTCTTTCTCACTTGAAGGTTAAAATAAATTTCAAATTCAAATGTATTCAAATATATTTAGAATGACTATTGATTAGTGTGTAAATAATCTATCTAGTGCTCCGTAAATATATGATTTTATGAGTCATATAAGATAGGGTGTCAATATTTGACATGACTCGAAAACTCTACTCGAACCAAACCAAAAATTTCAGGTTAGGGTAAATCGATCCGTTTCAAAAATCGAGTCAAGTTTATGTTGACCCGAAAACTCAATAATGACCATTTTGACTATTTTTTTGTTGTGGAAACCCGAGAATAACCCGCTTTTTACTCAAAAATATGAGATTGACACTTTTTTTTACCCGAAATATGACCAACCTGTGCATTTTACAGAGATTTTGCTAACCTCGGGTCATTCGTGTCGGGTCGGGTTTACCCGATTTTTTGGCGGGTCGGATATAGGTTGTAAAATCTAATCCGTTTGCAAAAATAGTTCGGATTCGAGTCGTGTCGAACAACAGCAGGTCACTATCGGATTCGGTCTGAACTCTACCCACAACCCATTTCTAACACCCCTAATATAAGATATAAAAATTTTCTTTTTATAAAGAATCAATAACAAAGAAGTCCAATAGAAGATTTATAGATAAACACTCAGTTTCTTTTGCCACCTGGCGCTGTGCGCTCCTATACTGTTCGTCTCTCGAACGAGGAATCCCTTGCTATTTTTATTTCTTTCGCATTAACCGTTGCTCCTTCTGTCGCTGCCAATTTTCTTCTCGCGCGTTCTATTCACTTTGATGCAAAATTTTTTTGAGTTCTCTTCGCATTCAAGGCGGAACGAATTGAATCTTCTTCCATTTTTTCGTCGATTGATAAAGAGCCCCAAAATCTCAGTGGCTGGAGGTGCAGAAGAGTTAGGAGGAAGATCACCGTAGATAGATAGGCCGGTGTAATCCGGCGACCCGCGGAAGATGCTTCCGGACGCAGGCAGCGAAGATGAGGAGAAATGGCTGGCCGAGGGGATCGCCGGCCTCCAGCACAACGCCTTCTACATGCACCGCGCTCTCGTCCGTGCTTCCTCAAACCCTAAACTCAATAGATCACTCATGCCATCGCTTTGCTTTTCCTTTCTTTGCTGCGCACTGATCGCTCTCTTGTTTTTGTTTAAAGGACTCCAACAATCTGCGTGACGCCCTCAAGTACTCGGCTCAAATGCTCTCCGAGCTGCGCACGTCTAGGCTTTCCCCCCATAAGTACTACGAGCTCTGTGCGTGACCCAAGTCCTTTTTTATGTCTCAAACCCTTGTATTTTATGCTTTTGCCTCTTTATGTTTGTTGTTATTTTCCCAAATTGTTGATTCTGGTCTTGGCTTGGAAGACATGAGGGCGTTCGATGAACTGAGGAAGCTGGAGATGTTCTTTAAGGAGGAGACCAAGAGGGGATGCTCTGTGATTGATCTGTACGAGCTTGTGCAGCATGCTGGGAACATCCTTCCTAGGCTGTAAGATCATTTTTTATGCTAAGAGTGTGTGGATCCTATCTGCTTAATGAAATGAACTCATTAGTGATTTAGCACCTTTATAAATGGTTTGCAACTTTATCCTGCTCAATGCTATCAGTTAACTACCTTTTTAAGAGTTTTGTTATTTCAGATTGTTTTTCTTAAGTGCTATAAATTTATGAAATCAAAATGATAGTTTAATTTTGTTGTTAAAGTTCCCATAGTTTGTTGTGGAAACAACTGCAAAGTTTTTGTTCCCTACTATAGATTCATACCTACATTCCTTCTTCATAATTACTTAAGTATATTTTTTTATTTTTTCAATTTTAACCTAATCTTAGTATTCACTCATGAATTATATCTTATCACGATCAAGTTATGACGCAAATTTTGTTTTTGTTTTTTTTTTAATTCATATAAATGAAGCTAAGATTGTTGATAATCAGGTATCTCCTATGCACAGTGGGATCTGTGTGCATAAAATCAAAAGAAACTCCAGCAAAAGAGATCCTTAAAGACCTAGTAGAAATGTGTCGAGGCGTACAACATCCGGTTAGGGGGCTCTTTCTCAGGAGTTATCTCTCTCAGATCAGCAGGGATAAGTTGCCTGATATTGGCTCAGAGTATGAAGGGTAAGAAACTACAGTTCATGCAACTTTCATATTTAATCTATTTCTTTTATTGTTTTTTTCATAATTCCTATGATACATTTATCCATTGATGTGGTGTGGTGAGCTTCCAGAACCTTTATAAGTACCACACACACTTGCTGTAGGAGAATTGCTTATTTTTATTAACTTACCAGAGCATCTAATTTCCATTTAAAATAAAATAAAAGCTTGCGGAAATAATTTCTATACATCATGATCTTTTACTATTTCATTTATTAAAATCTGATTCACAATAGCAAGGATTTCATTTATAACATCAATCTATCTTACTAAACTCCTTACTAAAAAAAAAAACTAAATCCAGAATTAAAAGAAACCTGAGAATTTTTGATCAACTTACTCTGCATGATCCTGATTCCTTCCCTGATCTGAAATCAATAAAATTCACGTAATGAGCTTAGAAAGCCTAGCAGGATCCTAAAAACTACCAAAGCTTTCGATGCAAAATCTCGAGAATCAATATGTATGCTCATTTCAATTATTCTGAAATCAGTAGTTATCAGCATGAACAACAATCAATCACCAGTGATATGAATCAATGTGATCAATACGTAGAAATATCTCGGAAATCACTACATTGAAATCCATAAATCAATATCATATACTGGAAAAACAAATATGTCAGGATAATTAATACAATATCGAATACAGTGCTATCAGCTATCTTCATTGTATGTTGTATATAAATCATGAATGCTTCCATCACTATTACAGTCACATGTAAATACTGCATTGGTTGCTCAATCACTAGCATCATGCATGTATGCAATTTTCTATGTATAAATCCCATATGTTTTCATATATGCATTTCAATGTAAGTATCAACATTATATGAATTTATGCAACAAGGCAGGGTATCCAGCTTTTACGTGGTGCTTTCATCCTTCCATCCGTCATTCATCTGTCATATCAATCTATGATTTCAATCAAATCTTTTAATTATTTCTATTAATCATTGTGACTTTCAATAAATCAATAATGAGTCGTCAGTCTGTACCCGTCGGTGTAATCAGTTATGGGTTAATATCCAAGATTACACCACCAACTTTTATTTTAAGTAAATTCAGGGTATTATTGTAATAACCAACCCATATTAGTCATAGTATTAGAAATGATCGTGGGAGACACTGTTAGGAAAGTTGATATATTAGATTTAACTTATGTTAAGAAAGGTAGAGGTAGACCTGAAAAGACTTGGTTTGAAAAGATTAGAACTGTTCTTTCTTTATTAGATTTAAACGAGAATTTGACTTTTAACATGATACAATGGAGAAAAATGATTCATGTAGCCGACCCCACGTAGTGGGACAAAGGCTTGATGTTGTTGTTGTTGTACTACAAATTAGCCACTTTGTGCTTAATTTTATGCAGCTTATTTTAGATCTACATTCAGATCTAGAAAACCTAATACCATTTGCATCAGATTTGATATCAGAGCTAGATTATATAAAAAGTCAACTGGAAGTTCGACTCATGATTAGGGTTGGTTAGCAAATCATCTAAGGAATGAGATTTTAATAAATTCGTTAAATCAATTTGCTAAATTACTAAATAAGCTAAATCAATTGAATGGAGACATAAATTGAACTAAATGGCAAATTGAAACTTTGGAAACTACTCAATTTTATTTGCATAAATATGAAATTGATTCTAATCATAATGATGAACCCATCCATTTGGGTGTTAACATGACTAGGAAATAGAAATTCATCATGGGAGACCCTGTTAAGGGTGTCTAATAATGAAGTTTATGGTTATCAACACCAAATATATGACTTAGAATTATTATGAAACTATGAAAATAAAAATTATGGAGTCATATTGAATAGGAAAACATACCCCAATTTATTTTTCTAATTTGGTAATGGAAATGTAATTTCACTGAATGACAAACAATGTAGGGTTAATATGAACTACGATTTGCTAAATTGAAATTAACTGGCAAATTAAATTGTAGGATGAGTGTGTAACAACTAAAGGAAAGATTAATAGAGAACTTGTATGTGTTCAGACAAAAATGAAAGAGCTCCTTAATGAAAAGTGTCTGTCTTTATCATATCATGATTTATTGATTGATGCATTTAATGCTCTAAAACAAGAAATAAAAATAGCCATTGAATATGTGAATAAATTTGATGAATTATTCCTGTTTTATGAAATCATTGAAGATCCTAAGAGAATACTTCTTTGTTTAGATTTGGATTAAGATCTCAAAAGAGAGAGAAAGCCCTATCATGTTACATCATTTGAGCGTGCATTCTAACTTGCTTTAGATCTTGAACAGACGTTGAAGTTTCCTATTTCTAAGAGAGTTATTACATCCATTAGAAATGCATTTTTTTTTTCAAATTAGTCAAACTCTGTATTACCCTAATTGCATCTAAGTGGGAGTAACACCACTTTAACAAAGACAATAAAGGGAAATCTATCACTAGTTGTTTTAAAAATCTTGCCAAAGCTTACTTTAAATTCATCATAATGGTATTACTTTGCAATTGAATACTTTGGTGGAAATTTTCATATTAATGTAATGGAAGATGACAGATGGGGTATCAAAATCTCATTCGGTAAAGCATGAGTTCATATACAAAATTTGGATCTTAAGGCGCTGAATGGGTTATCTTATAATAGATTCTGGATCATTTGGACTCCAAATCTGATGGACTTGTAGTCAAAATGACTAAAATTGCCAAAAAAAATGAATGACCTTTGGGCAGGGAACCATGCAAGTTAGAGTATATTGGTCCAAAATTGAACCAACCTGTATTGACATAACCCCAGTTCATCCCTCACGCAACCATGGATGCATGTGGAGAGGAGGCGACCTCCATTTGTTTCTTTGGTTAAATAGCCTCCTAACCCTTTGTCATCACACCCTCAAATCATCCCAAAATTTGCCCATTTTTTTGTAGTTTGCTTACCTTGGTATAAAATTTCGATGTTCCTACAACCTCAATCTGCCTCTGATTCACAAGCCATCTTATTATTGGATTTTTTTTTAGTAGATAAATATGTTGACACAAAAATGATTAATGAGGACATTAGAGATCAGCGGCTACGATCTGGAGTTTATTTTTTTAATGTGTTTTATGTACTAGTTTATTTTATATATTTTGTTTTCTCATTTTATCCCTAGGGGTGGTCATGTGGTGTTGTAGTCCGAAGGGTATTTTAGTCATTGTTTCTTTTCCTTTCAAGAGGACTATTTATAGGCTAGTTCTCTTGTATTTTGGGATGATGATTGATTACTGAAAATTCAGATTTCTCTTTGTCTCCCTTAATATTGAGTGTTTGAGAGAAGAAGAAAGACCCAAGGTGTGGACAATCGCAATATCCGTCAACCTTTGGAAGGGTCCAAGTTTCTCGGATCTACTTTTTGTTCTGCGCATCTCCTCCGACTCTCTCCTCTTTCCCCCACCCGCCGCCGGCTTGCTCCCTCTCTCACCACTCCCTCATTGTCCCCTACCCGACCATCACATCACGACCCGCCAACCCCTTAGCCTTCTCTCCCCCACCACCCGTGCCCAAATCCCCCACCTTGGCTTGAAATTGACTTAAAAATGGTCTTCAACTATATTAAAGGATCATTTTGGTCCTTCAAGTCTGTGTATGGCTAAAGAATTAATCATTTTTAGCTGAGTTGGCTCAAATCAAAATGGGTTTGGTTTCAATTTGAGCTGGAATTGAACTTTTGATTTCTAGTTGAGCCAAACTCACTTGAACTCAAGTCTTATCTCCCCTACTTGATTGAAAATATGATTTTCTTAGGATCCTAAATTGTTATTTTACATTTCTATTATTTTGTTAAATTATTATTTCCGTAGATTTGGTGTATTTTTTCAGTTTTGATCTTAAGGTGGCAACTAGTTGTTTAAATTAGTAATCTGTGATTGAGAAATAGATGTTATGTGCTTGATTTTGTGTATTTCATCTTAAATCTGTATTAGAAAACCCTTGAGTATATGACATACTATCAGGCATGTTTTAACTTGGAAATAAATCTTGCTTTAAAGTTTTAGCAAGGGCATCGGGTCAGTTTCCTTCTTTTTTTTTGTTTTAAACTGTATATGTCTCATTACTTGGACTTTTTAGAGTATCAACCAATCACTTTCTTTGCTGAATCTCATTCCAGAAATTGCTTTGGTTAGGGATGGTGATAGTTTTATTGATGCTGTTGAGTTCGTGCTTCAGAATTTCACAGAAATGAATAAATTATGGGTTCGGATGCAACATCAGGTTCGTTTTATTGTTGCTTGTACATTGTATCCCTTCTTATCATACGTGCATCATTGTTTTTCATGGCTGCATTTAATGCCTCAAATGTGAAAGTTCTTCTAAGGTGTGTATATATATATATATATATATATATATTGAAAAGTTCTAAGGTATATATATGTAGAAGCATTATGTAGATAGATATTGATGTTAAGTACAAGCATGTAATGGGGATTTGTGACCTGCAGGGACCTGTTCGAGAAAAGGAGAAGCGGGACAAAGAGAGGAGCGAGCTTCGAGATCTTGTAAAATTACCTTGTCATAACGTTATGAAGTCTGCACAATCTTCTTCACCATAGAGATTCCAACTGTGGTTATCTTTTTTTCTAGGTTGGCAAAAATCTTCATGTTCTCAGCCAAATAGATGGAGTTGATCTTGATATATACAAGGATACTGTGCTTCCTAGAGTATTAGAACAAGTTTGTATCTTTTAAAACATTTGTATTCTAAATTCTGATGATGATACGGTACAATATACATATGTATTGCAACTTTTTCTAACAGGTGGTCAATTGCAAAGATGAATTGGCCCAACATTATCTGATGGATTGTATTATCCAAGTCTTTCCGGATGAATACCACTTGCAGACTCTGGAAACATTATTAAGTGCATGTCCGCAACTCCAGGTAATTTGTTGATGCTTTGTCATTGCTTTCTTTTATATGGATTTCTCTGTATGCGTTAGTCGCTGTTCACACACTTGAGCATGCGCTCCTAGATATCTTAGATTTATATCAATTTATCGCTTTAAATTTTTCCTTTTGCAGAAATTACGCTGTATTTGCCTTTAATTTCAGGCATTCCAAACTTTTGAATTATTTGTCAGCGAGTTTTAAAAGCAATAGTCCACCTACTATTCTTTAAAGACATTGTTTCTCTTATTACGGCTAGTCTAATACAGTTTTTAATTAATTAAAAAGCTAGTAATTGCTGGACACTGTTTTTGCCCCAAATGCTCTCTTTCATTATTTATTAAGTTGTCTTTCCTTTTTGGCTCGTGCATTCTCTCAGGTTTCATTTTGAAGTTTCTTGATATTAATTTCTATGCAACTGAAATATGTTGTCTATTATTTTCTAAATCTGTTTTTCTTCGTTTGAATGCAACTTTTCTGTAAGTTTCATTTGTCTGGTAAATCATGACTTCGTCATTCCTTAGCGTTTATGTTGGTCTATTCTTCAAAAGTAGGCGGTCTGTAGCTGGTCTGATGGTGGCTTAGGGGTCAATATTAGACCTAGCCTGGCTTGGTCTTATATTGGTACGAGGCAAACTTTGCATGTTAAGGGGTCCAATCTAATGTTAATTGGGGCCAAGTTTGGCTCGTTGATATTAGTCCGTTCTCAATCAAAGTAAAAAAAAAAAAAAAAAAAAAAAAAAAAGGAAAGGACTTATTTTTTATATTTATTCAAGTAAAATTTTCATCAATTAGTTTAAAGGGCGGATCTTGAATAATGATTTACCTGTGATATGGAGCTCAGAGGCTGGATCTAGATATGGAAACAATCTCTTTGCACTGAAGAGGTAAGTCTGCGTCCATCAACTTCCTCTTGGACCTCTCATTGGTTTAAAGTTCATGCACTGGGTGCACCCCAATTTCTTTCATTGTTATTCTCAAGTATTCCTATATTTATTCTTCATCACATTAATATCTACGTATATCCATACATGCATCATAAGTTCATACATGAAACAGTTACGTAATTTTTTGATCAAATCTTGAGCTTGCCCGTTAGGGGCCAGTCCTAGTTTGTTAATTGGCTTTTTTATTTTGGCATAGCCCAATCTGTGTTAACTTTTTTTTTCCCTTCTATCTACTATGTTTAAGCTCAATTTAGAACCCCTATTTAAGAATATATTTTTTAGCATTTCTGATGGCATGAAATTTGGGTGGTAAAGTTGTTGGCCTTAGGCTACTGGTTTCATTGTTTTTTGTATTGAATTTAAGGGTTGTATTTTAGACCTATACATGAGTGCTTTTACTTTCAATATTAAACTAATTATTTTAGAACTTATAAACTTAGTTAAAAATACTATACCCGTATAATACATGCAGGCACAAATTATTTTTAAAAAGATTCTTCAATTTTCTGTGTCTCAAAAAAGAAGTATGAAAATCTGTAAATATTAAACTTAAAAAAATTTAATGCATGAATTTTACATATTCATATTTATGAATAATACTCATGTATATGTCTTTTGACTTGTTTTACCAATTTATTATTTTGCCAAGCTTTTGAATGTATTATATAACTTTTCTGGCAGTTATTACCTGTGTTTTATAATTTTATTCATGCTTTTCTAAGCTAGATTTGTATGATCCTTTCAGCCGACTGTGGACATCATGACAGTCCTATCTCAGCTTATGGACAGATTATCAAATTATGCTACCTCTAGCACGGAAGTGAGCTTCCAATGCATCTCTTTTCTTGTCGTTATGCATGTTATTATGATTTCTCATACGTAAGTTGTGCAGATTTTACCAGAATTTCTTCAAGTAGAGGCCTTTGCTAAGTTGAGCAATGCCATTGGAAAGGTAAACACTTTTGAACCAGGTGATAAATGATTGTCATTGGAAATGAAGCAACCTTTGACGTGAATGTGTTTGATCGTTACCTGGTTGTTTCGTTTGCACTATATTTTTTCTTAAATTTTATTGATCCACCAATGCAATTTTTGTTTATTTGCATTCTTCAGTGCATTCTGTTATGTTGTAGTTATAATGTCAATGACTACTACTTCGGGATGTGCATCACTTTTTATACCGTGTTTTCATAATTCTTGCTAGCATGGAGCATAACTGCATTAAATAGAATAAGTAATTCAGTAAAATGCCGCAGTTAGAAAAATAAGCATGATGAATAACCAATAGGGTGCAAGCCTGATGATGTGAGCGAATTATAGAACAGTTTCGTTCGAGGTTAGTTAGGACTTTTTGCTCTGAAAGTCAAAGGAAATGATTTACTGGATTTATTGTGATTGATATGAGACTATAATGTGATATAGACTTTGTTTAATAATTTTATGTGTGTTTTTTTTGGTTCTATGTGTTACGAAATGAAATCATTGTGACAAGCACATAAATATCAATCGCATAAAATATTACGGATTATAGCTCATAGCATATTAGAGAGCACATCCTGCAATTTTTTAATGATAGGATGTAACAAGGCAAAATAGTGCATGCTATATGTGCTATGATGTATAGGTTGAGTGACATGCTATTTATTGTTATTATTTTATTGATTTATTTAAACTTGTATGAATAAGAAAGCTTTGTTGGAGGTTCGGCATAATATAATGATATCGTTTTTTTTTAGTAGGTTCAACTGTCATGCAAGTGTATTTGTTCTAACTTCTAATTGAAGCAACATGGTAGATTTGTAGCAAGTAAAAATCTGTATCCTCCTTCACATGCATATATGGTTTTAGCCAACAATGCTCAAGTTTTATAAGTTAATATACTAGATAGAGTTTACCAATGGCTATAAATCTATCTTTGTTATTTTTGGATGAGGAAAAAGGCTATATCTTGTTATTGATGCACTAGTTAGGGGATGTCTCTACCATTAAGTTGAGTCTAAAATATGTTTTTTCTCATTTTCGTCTTCTATATTGAGAAAGATTACTTCTACTCGAGTCATTTTCTGTGTTTGTGTGCACACGTGTATTCATATTCATTAATCTCCCATAGCTTTCCCCTCATTGAAAATGGCTTGCCTCTTCTTACATGGTCTGATTTTTACTCTCTGGCTTGTTGATATGGTACCTAGGAAACACTAAAAGAACAAATATTATTAGATACAATAAATAAACTATTAACATCTTCTTCAAGGATTAGCTCATATTATGCTCATATTTTAATTAATTGTGATTATTAAAATGACTGATATTTATCAATCCACTTCCATTTCCTTTTTAAATTCTATTTATGGATTATATTTTTGTTGTATAATTACCATTTGCTTTTATAATTGGACAATTGAATGTATGAACAAGGGGTTGGATGAAGGAAAACTTCTCAAGTTAAGTTGTGGATCAAAGAATTTGATCTAAGACGCACACAAATATGTTTGAGATAAGTTTCACACAAAAGATGTTTGATATAAGATTTATACTTTTTCAATTAATTATTCATATCAAGAATTGATACTTCATTTCCATTTGAAGTTGATTGAGATTCTTTCCTTTTCTTGTTGCTTCATTCTTCTGTTCTCATAATTCATCAGCCTTCACTTGAATGGTACAATATCATGAATTTCTATGATACTGATACCATTGTGAAATTTATATCATATTAGTAAATTGTATGGTCCCTTGGTACACACATTTAATACATTAAAATATTATGTTTTGTTTAGATGACATTTATAGTACCTTATTTACGTTAGAATATTTTATTTTAAAATATTGAATTGTGATAAATTATTGATGACTTTTTAATATGTCATCCTATTATTAAACTAAAGTGCTATGCGCTATGGCACTCGAAGATCATTACGCTATTTGCTACTAACAAAAATGGGCAAGCTACTTTGTCGATCATAACCATCAAGTTGATGCGGCTATTGGTAGCCCAGCTGCCGAGGTGGGGCCCAAGACCTCCTTTATCACCTATAGAAGAAGAGGCTTTGGGGGAAAAATCGTTGGGAAAGATGTAAGGAGCATTTATTAGGGGATTTAAACTGTTTAAGGGGGAGACTGTGGAGGGTTATGGATTTATATTGAGTTTTATTTTCTGTAGCAGTTTTTGTTGGGTGTTTGTGTTCCTTATGGCAGCTAGGAATTGTGCGAGAGATGATTCACCTCTCAAATAGTGAATCAACTTGTATTTTGTCTTTCTTTACTTGGAGATTAGTAAACACAACCCTCTTGGTGTTATTTTTGGATATATTAGGAGTAAGCTGCTGTTTTTTATTGTTGTGTGCTGTTTTGATCATCAAGTTCTATCAAATTGGTATCAGAGCATGATTTGGGAACTATGACACCGAAGAAAGTGAATGCTTTGGAAGAGAAATTAGAAGAAGTTAGCCAACTCAAATCTTAAGTTGAGGAATGAATTTCATATATGGAAGGAAGGTTTTCTAACCTAGAGATGAAGAAAATATTGAAGCTTTACATCCAACCGGCAACATTGAAGGCGAGAGGTCCGATCGGTGGCGTGTGAGGCCTTGAAGCGTGAGAGCGAGTAGGACGAGAAGCTAAGCAAGATTAGAGGAGACTTACTGCAGGATAATGATAACCATCATGGTTACTCTTTGATGGGTTAGAAGCTGCGATACCAAGGACGGTTTGTGCTTCGAGGACATCGCCACACATCCCTCACTTGTTATAGGAGTTTCATGGCACAACTATTGTGGGACATTCAAGAGTTCAAAAGACATCATAGACTAACAATGGAGTAATATTAGGTTGGCATGCATAAGGATGTAGAGGAGTTGGTGACCAGTTGTGATGTGTGTCAGAGACACAAATACCTTACCATGGCTTAAGGTGGTCTTCTATAGCCTTTGGCATTATTCGAGAATGTGTGAGAAGAGGTGACGAAGGACTTTATTGACGGACTACCTTGATTAAAAGGGTTCATTGTGATTCTAGTGGTGGTGGACAAATTGAGCAAATATGCTCATTTCATTCCCTTACGCCACCCATATATTGTGCTGTCGATGGCAGTCGCATTCGTTAGAGAGGTGGTCTGTTTTCATGGCATAACTTAGGCCATTGTGTTCGATTGGGACAAATGTTTTTCTAAGCCACATATGGAGGGAGTTATTCAAGATTCAAGGGACTATCCTAAAGCGGAGTACATCTTACCACCCTCAAACGGATGACCAGAAAGGGAGGTGGTGAATTGCAATGTGGAGGCTTTTCTTCGTTGTTTTGTATCAGATACACCAAAGATGTGGGCCAAGTGGTTAGTCTGGGCGGAATATTGGTATAACACTTCATCTCATACAACAGCTCATGCACCACTATTTAAATTCCTATATGAGAGAGATTCATCTCATCTGATACATTATGAGCATAACAACACACCAGTGCATCTATGGAGCAGTACTTGGGAGAAAGATACCGAATTTTGGCAAAATTGAAGGAACATCTACGGAGAGCATAACAAATCATGAAGAAGCAGTTGGATGGACACATGAGAGATGTGCATTTTGAGATTGGAGATAAGGTTTATCTAAAGATTCGATCTTACAGACATAGGAGTTTGGCCCGACAAAGGAACGAGAAGCTCCCCCTCGCTACTTTGGGCCCTACGAGATAGTGGAGCACATTGGCATGGTAGCATATCGCCTATGGTTGCCACTGACCTCAGCCATCCATGTCGTATTTCATGTGTCGCAACTGAGACTGGCCATTGGAAACCAGACCCTTGCTCGCACTACCGATCATATTGTTAGAGGATATGAAGATGATATTAGAACCACTGGAGGTAAAAAAGGTGGGCTAAGGAAACAAGGGAATCAGAGAGGTGTTGATCAAGTGAAAGGATTTACTAGAGTATGAGGCGACATGGGAGCCCTACAGCACCATTCAAAAGCAATTTCCCTCTTTCCATCATGAGGATAACGTAACTTTTTTGGAGGTGAGTATTGATGTGGCTGCTAGCAGCCCAGCTGTCCATGGGGGCAAAAACACAACTGCTAGGTGGGGCCTAGGACCTTATTTATCACCTATAGGAGAAGAGGCTTTGGGCGGAACGTCTTTGGGAAACATGTAAGGGGCATTTATTAGGGGATTTGGGCTGTTTAAGTGGGGAGATTGTAGAGGGTTAGGGTTTATGTTGAGTTTTGTTTTTTACAGCAGTTTTTTGTTGGGTGTTTGGATTCCTAGTGGTTGTTAGGAATTGTGGGAGAGATAATTCACCTCTCGAATAATGAATCAACTTGTATATTGTCTTTCTTTGCTTGGAAATTAGTAAATATAGCCCTCTTGGTGTTATTTCTGGATCTATTTGGAGTAAGTTGCTTTTTTTTTATTATTGTGTATTGTTTTGATCATCAAGTCCTATCACAAGTCTTGGAAGAGGTCCAATTGATGTGTATGGTTCTCTGTTGCATGTGTCCTGCAAATGTAAAATTCTTGAAATGCAAAGCAGTTATGATAGGAGTTTTATGGACTTATTCAGAGTTGTTAGAGGTTAAAGGTTCTGGAATCAAGTCAGAATGGATGAAGGGCCGAAGGCCAAGGAAATGCTTAAGTGGAGCTTTTGGGATATGGTTTAGGATGAATATAAAATATATTGAAATGGGTGGAGGATGGTGGAGGGATGGAATATATTGGTGGGAATTTGGTATTCACAACAGAGATCTGTAAGACGAATAAAATTACTAATGGAACCTGTCCTAGCACCATTAAACAAAAATGAAATGGTATCAGTTCTATGAGCAAATTGATATTAACCATTTAGGTCAAACTTAAAATTGATGATATTGAAACAAAGCAGACTTTATTATTATTCTAAGGGCAATCTGAATTATCATGTGTGAAGAAAAGATCTTCCTGGGTCGGATTCAGTTTTTTTCTTTTTTTCTTTTTTTTTTTATTAATTGTTGATATTTAAGCTAAATGAACTAAAACTAATATGTATCTGCGAAAAATGGTCGAAACAATTGGAAATCCATTTTTTTAACGATTTGAGATTGTTTATGGCTGTAATCGATCTGATGCAAGCCACCAGAAACTTATTAAAACTTATAACCTGGTTATATTTTCTTGACTGCTCTGTGACTGCTTTGCTTGCACTGAAACTCAGTACGCATATGATAGAACCTTTATACTTTTTAAGACGGTGAGTTTTTTTTTTTTAAGTGTTTGTTTTCTTCTGTCAATCGTTTATCTACTGATCTGTGTGCAACTTGCTTTTGATTTCAGGTCATTGATTCCCAGCCAGAGATGCCAATTGTTGGTGCCATAACTTTATATGTCTCACTTCTTAAGTTTACTCTTCGTGTGCATCCAGATCGTCTTGATTATGTGGATCAAGTACTGGTAAGTCCAGTTTCCTTAATATGTATTTGCACTGGCACGCTTATTTTGATTTTAAGAAAAGATGATCAAAATGGTCAGTTGATTTTTTATGAAGGATCAAAATGATCTCCAACTATATTAAAAAGACTATTTTAGTTCTTCTTTAAGGAGTTGAGGGGACTAAAATGATCCTTTAATATAGTTGGGGTTTATTTTGATATTTTATAAAGAGCCAAGGGGCCATTTTGATCATTTTCTTTTGACTTTAATGCCTTCAAATCATAGAAATGGGAGTATTTGATAGTGTTTAATTAGAGAGGGCTGTGGTCCAGCTAAGTTATAAATGGGTTATTATTATTTTTTTAAATATTATGAAAATTGGTTTCCATGCGTAGTGAAAGTCATCCAATTTACTCTTAGTGCATTAAGTAGATGCAATAGTTTGATCATAGTTCACTTCTCGTTATCTTTGTTTTTTTTTTCTTGTATTTTGAGGCTTTTTTAGACTTAAGGCTGTATATTGATATAACTACCTTTTTGTACCTATGATTAGGGAGCGTGTGTTAAGAAACTCTCAGGCAAACCAAAGATTGAGGATAACAAGGCAACTAAGCAAATCGTTGCCCTTCTAAGTGCTCCAGTGGAAAAGTACAACGACATAGATACTGCATTAAAGCTCTCTAACTATCCTAGAATCATGGACCACCTTGATAATGCTACAAAGAAAATCATGGCGGTTGTTATTATTCAAAGCATCATGAAGAACAATACCTACATATCTACTGCAGACAAGGTAAATTTAGCAACCTAACATTTATTTCAGTTATTAATTCTAACTTAAAATAGTTATGTTTCCTAGGTTGAGGCATTATTTGAGTTAATAAAAGGGCTTATCAAGGATATGGATGAGATTCAAGATGAGGAGGTCAAACTTTGGTGCACTAACTTGTTAATTAATAAGTTTCGTCCAGAATTTCTTATGAATTGGCAATTTTCACCTTCCAGGCTTCATCTCTTCACAGCCTTAGGTAATATTTGGTGTTTGTTATCTTAAAGGGTCACTGAATTTTCATTTTCCTCCGCATATAGCTTGACGAAGAGGATTTCAAGGAGGAGCAAAATTCAGTTGCTCGCCTCATTCACATGCTGTACAATGATGATCCAGAGGAGATGCTGGAGGTAGGTACATTTTCTTCGATTTCTTGTATGCATGTTTGGGCTTTTTTAGCTTGTATATGCATAAATGTCATGTTGATGTAGACCAAAATTAGAACGATTTATCATTACATGACCATTAGAGGGGTTCCTTCTTGTCAGCCCCCACATTGAACTAGATCCATATCATCTTAGAGTTTTTTTTCAAGGTATATTTGATTCCTTTAATGTGTTTAGATATTGGCTGACTGAATGTTCCTGGAAGCATATTTTGTGAAAATTAAGCATTTAATACCATGAGGGCATCTCAAACTAACTGATCTTATTTAACTTCATGAGTCATTACTTACCAATTATTGTTCAAGTTTTAGGAAATTTCATAAATGTCCTTGTAAGTAAGCTGTTATGCTTTTTAAAAATAAAATAGTAATATCATTGTATTGGACTATATTTCCATGCACCTCGCTCATGAAGCATTAATATGATGGTTAAAAGTTGTGCATAATCACACTTTACCCCCATAATTTAATTGTAACGCGCACATAACCCCCCCGTGACTAGAGTGTAACAATTATCTTTTACATCAAATTTTACAGGGAGAATGGGTTTTTCACTAGAAAATTTTGTCGATAAGGTTACTGCTTCCATTTTTTCTGCTTTTCTCTTAGAACCTATATTTTTCTCCACAAAATGCCCTTAGTGTGGGTGCCACTTTTCCTTTTTCTCAAAAACTTCTTGTCTTCTAAGACAAAACCTATGCAGGAAGGGAATTGATTGATCTGTGTGATTAAAGGATACTGGAAACCTCAAAGTTGCAACACAGTTCCGAAGGGAGGAGAAAGGGATAGTATCTCAGATGATCGTTATCATTAAAATCTGTTAGTGGCATGAAACGCAAACAAGCCATACAAATTACTTTCCAACTTCATTAAATCTCATCTCACTAACAACTCCATTAAATCTCATTTCAAATACCAATAAATTGACTATACAGTAGAAGGTACTAACCAATTAAGGGGAACTGGCATTGTACACATAAAAATACAGTTCTAGAATGTGAAAGTGAACTGAAGAAGTGTTATACTTCTTGATGGCTCAAGAAGGGAACAACATCTTTGGAGTAGGTGCAAACTCCAACAAGACAAGGGAGTGGAAGGAGTAAATTGAAATTTCATTCTATGAAAAAAAAAATACAGCAGAATTTAGAGCCATTTATAGTCTTTTTCCTAGCTGATTTGTACCGTTTGGTTCATTTATCGAACCGGTTGGTTCATTTATTGAACCGGTGGTCTAAAACTAAAAACAATATAGAAAGGTCTATTTATTAATACATAAGCTTGTTTTACAAGAAACATGTGTCCGTCCTTGAGATGTTGTATTTGGTTTTCTTTTTCTTTGACAGTAAACTTTCATGTGCATATTGTTGTCTTTAAATTGGTCTTCCAAGCGTTTAGTCCAATCTTTACATTGTTCATGCACAATGCTTGTATCTAGTTGAATATGTTGTTGTTTAACACTTCCGTTGCCATAAAAAAAAGCTTTGTCCTCAAAGTTAAGAGCTGGAAATGAATGTCAAAGAGATAAAAAATTCTTCCATGTAGCATCTTCTAGATTGGTGGGTGTCTATTGCAAGAGAACCTATCTGTGTGGTAGGCCCCGAAATTGAATTATATGTGAAGCAAGAATGGCATAAGGTAAACTGACATGTTGATTGTTATGAATGAAAATTGGTAATTGGGAAACTGCATTTAGAGGATTGCTTTTGAATGGTTTTAGAACTGAAATATGGAAAAGAATTTTACTTTCGGGTGGAAGAGCAAGTCAGTATGTCATTGAACTTATAATAGAGTGAACAGGAAAGGGGCCAAAGTAATGCTTGGCTAATTTAGAATGGGTATGATTAACAACCAATGATTGTTTAAAAGGTTAGAGTTTGACCATAACTAAATCCCCAATGGATAATTGTAAATCCCGACGATGGTGATCAGCCATGATTTTCATTCTATGTTGAGCTTGCTGCAAAATTTGATGGAGGGTTTGTAAGTTTAAGTTCCTATTGGTTAATATAGTATCGACAAAAGCAATACCAGATGTTTCCTGGATATAATAAGGAATGAAGGGTGGGGATCTATCATATAAAGCATGAGGCATTGTAGATGATTTAATTTCTTGACATGTGAGAGATTTACAGATAAAATCCGCAATGTTTTTATGAGGGTTTGGCCAATAAAAAATTACGGTTAGATGTTTGATGGTCTTAAGGGTGCCGCCATGTCCTGCTGGCGGGGTAGAATGAAATTCAGTTAAGTGCTTTTTTAGGGTATAATTTTTATTGATATAAATGCATCCTTTATAATAAAGAATATTATTCTTGAGGGCATTCATATATTCTTGTCATAATTCATTTAGTTGAGTAAATGAAAAACTTGAAACTAATTCAAAGAGAATGCTTATGGGGGGGGGGGAGGATTTTTGACTGCAAGTCACGGAGGCTTTTATGATCAGTGTGACATATTTCATGCCCAGACATCTACTGGGCAAAGGAGAAATGATTCGGCTTCATGTGGTTGACGGGGTAAAGAATTAGCAACCGTGTTATTTGATACGAAAATGAAAACCTAAAAGTTTACAAAGGCAGTAATGTTGATCAGGAGTGTGGAGGATTTTTGACTGCAAGTCACGGAGGCTTTTATGATCAGTGTGACATATTTCATGCCCAACATATATTGACGCCATTTACAGACGTCTTCCTTGACAACATATAATTCTTTAATGTAAGTAGATGTCTGGGACAAATGGAGCCCAATTTTTTTTGCTGAAAAAAGAGATTGAATGATTTCTTTGTAACAATACATCTATACCAATATTTGAAGCGTTGATTTCATTAATAAAAGATTTAGTGAAATCTGGTAAAGTTAAAACCGGGGCATATGTCAGGGACAATTTAAGATTATTAAAAAGGGTCAGAAGCATGAGAGTCCCATTGAAAGGCATCTTTCTTAAGAAGGTTAGTTAAAGGAGCTGCGATAGAAGCATAATTAGAGATAAAATGACGATAATAGCTAGTTAACCCTAAAAAAGATCGAAGATGATGTAATGATGGAACAGACCAGTTAGCCATTACTTCAATTTTATTTGGATTAGTCGAAATAGTACCAAATGAGACAATATGACCAAAATATTCAATGGATGGTTGACAAATGACACTTACTGAGTTTAAGAAACAATTGATTTGACAATTTGAAGGTGAGAATAATGATGATCTATAGTGGAGCTGTATATGAGGATATCGTCAAAGAATATAATAACAAACATACGAATATATGAATGAAAATTTGATTCATGAGAGCTTGAAAAGTAGATCGGGCATGACTAAGAATTTGAAATGGCCATCATGAGTATGAGAAGCGGTTTTATGGATGTCTTTTTGGTGCTTATGGATTTGTTCGTAGCCTGATCGCAGATCAAAGCTTGGAGTCATCTAAAAGTTCATCTACTATTGGAATAAGGAACTTATCCTTGACAGTCAAAGCGTTAAGGGTGTGATAATCAACAAAAAATCACCAAGTACTATCACATTTTTGTACTAGAAGCATTGGGCTGGAAAAAGGACTATGACTGCGATGAATAATGCTAGATTGCAGCATTTCAATGAGTGATTGTTCCATAGAATCTTTTTGAAAATGCGGATGTGGATAGGATTGAATGTGAATAGGTTTAGATTGCAATGGTAAATGAATGTGGTGATCAATTGGTTGAGGTGGTGGTAAGCCTTTGGGTGTTTGAAATAAGCTTTTAAATTGCCAAATTAAAGTTACAATAGATGTAGTTAAAGTAGCGGCAATGGATGAAAGATTGTCATTGAAATTACTTTGGATTGATGTGTCCTGATCGTTTTAGGGTCTGGATTGAATGGTGAAGATTTGTATTGAGGGGGAATGGATAGCAAGGCAAAAAAATTGATGAAAAGATATATAGGAGTTTGTAATAGTTGAGATTCACCGGATAAGATAATTTGGCGATGCTTATCAGAAGATTGTATAGTTAGATCTTGATAATTGTGAAGAATGGGACCTAATGATTGAAGCCATTGCATTCGTTGAACAATCTCAGCGTCAAGGATAGCAAGCACAAATAAATCCAAGAGAGCTTGATAACCTTGCATTGAGATAGTGACTTGAGAACATTTTGAACCGGTTGGTCTAAAACGAACTACAATATAAAAAGGTCTATTTATTAATACATAGGCTTGTTTTACAAGAATCCTGTGCCTATCCTTGAGTCGTTGTATTTAACTTTCTACCTCTTTTATGGTAAACTTTGTGCATATTGTTGTCTTTAAGTTGCTCTTCCGAAAGTTTAGTCCAATCTTTACATTGTTCATGCACCATGCTTGTATGTAGTTGAATATCTTGTTGCTTAATAAGAAGTGACTACCTTTTTTATAACCTCATGTAGTGTATGGAATATTGGATATCAGAATGCTTTACACGAAGTCACTTTTTTGCATTTTGATCGAAGCATCATTTGTTACAGCACTTTTAGACGTCTGAAATCATATCTTTAACTGTTTAGAAAAATCAATTATTCCTGTAAGGTTTCCTGTGAACTGAATAAAATTCCAAATTTAATTTCCAACAAATGTTGAAGCTTTAATCACCATAAATAGTTCGTGCACGATCATATCTGCAAACGTAGTCAAAGTTAGGTTTAATCGTTATGTAATTTCATTAGCATCTTTTCTTTATTGTGTTCATCAGTTGTCTTAATTACTAGTTTGTGCTGCATAATTTGAATAAATTTCATGCAAGAGGATAGAAAATTAGTGTATTCCAGAAATGTGGAAAGTTAGTTTTCATTGTCCGTAACATGCTGAACATCTTTTCTTTGCTCTGTATTTCAATTGCTATTAATGCTAGTTTGTACTGCATAATGTAAATAATATGCAAAAAAAGCTTCAAATGTAAATTGCGTGTTGTCAGTCTTTGGCAAGAAAGTAAGCAAATTGCGTGTTGTCAGTCTTTGGCAAGAAAGTAAGCATATCATACCGGCAATATATTAGCACTAGACTTGGCACTGCTTTCTCATTTATTGTGACCTTGTAATTTTCTTAATAATTTGCATGTGCTAATCTAAGTAGTGTAATATTTTACTGCACCTTTTCACTGATTGACCTAGTTTGCTTTGTATTTTTAATCTTGCTTCAAATGTATTTCACAGCGGACAGTAATTAATTTCTGTTTATAGATCATTCAAACCGTTCGGAAGCATATTCTTCTTGGAGGACCTAAACGCCTTGCTTTCACCGTACCACCACTTATATTTTCTGCTCTTAAGGTTCGTTTGTTATGGTACATGTATCTAAATTGGTAGAGTGCATGAGCTCATGCAATTTCATGTTTGATTTTCATTGCAGAACTGATGATTTGACCTTATGATGTCTTGTTCTGTAATTTCAATGTTGAATTGTATTAGGAATGATCATAACAATAAATTCCTGAACATAATGGTATTTGGTGGCCAAAATTCAAAATAGAAATATGTGATATGTAAATAATTTATTTGCCTCACTATAGATATTTTTCTCCACGCTCAAAGCAAACTGATACTAGCATTATTATGCTAATTTATTTTCATTAGTCCTACTGAACTGAAAGGGGGCGCATTTTGAATCTTTATCCATTTCATTCTTGTTGTGTGCTGCATGAGTGTTAATTCTATTTTGTGCGTGTCTTTTCGCTTTAAGCACGTTCAGGTTAATTTTGGCATGCCCTTTAAATTAGCATAACGAATAGGACAACTAATATAGATTTATTTAAAAAAGATCATATTTGGCGAGAAAGAAATGATCGAAATTATAATTTCTCGGGTATCTGTTATGTCACCATGTGCTGTAGAATTAAAAATGTAATCGGATGGAAAGTTTCAAAATGGAATAGTAGGGAATGCCTCTTGGAGCTTGGGATCCTGTAGTTTGGTTTTTGATCTGGTGGGCTTATGCGGCATTCTGATGTCTTTTGCTTCTGTTGCTAACATCTCGATTTTTCTGGAGTGTCTTTTTCTGCTGTTGCACATGTTTTGGCTGCTCGTTTGGGCTATGATGAGTGATGCCAACATCCTACCTGGTTACCCTTTGGATGGCCTCGCTGGCAACCAAGGGTGACCTGTTTCATTATTTGTGCTGGCTGTCCTAGTTATTTTTCCCCTGTTGGGGTCTCTGCGGCAACCATTTCTCTCAGGATGGCCCTGCGACAACCAGGGGTTCTCCGCCTTCTATATGGTATTGCTGATCCTTCTCGATGAGGCATTTTTATGTATGTTGGCTCTTTCCACCTGAGTCCTCGGTTTGAACTTTTGGCTGCTTCATCAGTTGATTCCTATATTTTGTTATATTGCTGATCTTTCAGTGGCTGGTTTTTTACTGGAGCTTTCTCTTTCTATTGATCTCTTGTGTGCTGGATATCTTATTTGGTCTTTCCGTAGCATAGATCCTTTTCTGCTCTTGTTTTGAGCTTCCGTTTTGACACAGCTCAGTTCATAAATGTAACATATTATAGAATTGGTTCTTTCTTCATTATTCTGTAAACAACCCCCCCCCCTATATATATATATATATATATACGGTTTAACTGATCATTTTTCTATTGATACACATCCTGTGGTGTTTGTTCCGTGTAATTATACTCTTCTTATGCTTGCAGAGTTCTCCTATGCTTAAAGCGTGCCATTAGGATTGCAAATGCTGCCCAGCAAATGGCCAATGTTACAAGGGGCAGCAGTGGACCCGTCACATTGTTTGTTGAAATACTCAACAAGTACAACTTCTTTACTGTTTCAGTTGAGAAATATCCCCCCGTAAGAGGAGAAATTATTTTGTGTAGAGACCGGACGGTGAGAACCGTTCAAATTTGCTGCGCTTTTACTATCTTTTGCTACAAATATTAAATTATGAATGCACCATAATTGAGTATTTGTTACGCTTTTGCAGCAAAAGTGCAACAAAAGGGCAGCAAATATTGCTTCGATCAAATATTTGTTGCGTTTTTGTCGAGTTTTTGCAAAAACACAGCAAATACACAGTAAAAGTGTGGAATATTTGTTGAGTATTTCCTAAGTATTTGCAAAAGCGCAGCAAAAGGACAATAAAAGCCTAGCAAATCCGGACGATTCTCACTGTCCGGTCGCCGCACAGAACAATCTCTCCCATAAGAGACCTTAAATATTGAAGGCATCAATTTTGCAGGTATCTGTATTTCTTCGAGAAAGGAAATCCTCAGATCACCAGCTCGGCAATTCAGGGTCTGATTGAATTGATTATGAACGAGATGCAAAGTGATAACTCACCATCAGATCCATCAGCTGATTCTTTCTTTTCCAGCACAATGCGTTACATTCAGTTCCAGAAGCAGAAAGGTGGTGCCATTGGCGAAAAGTACGAGCCAATCAAGGTTTAGTAGAAGCAGGATGCCCAGATACAGAATTGGCACTTTCATACTAATCTCAGATTTGGGTAATAAGATTATGTAAATTGTGCTATATTTTCCATTGTCTTCATTCTTGATGCATTCTTTTCCCAGTTTCCTCTGCTTTCAATGCTGTCAAAGTGATGTATACTAGACCAATTTCAATTTTTGAAGAATAAAATCTTGACTAAATTTTTGAAATCATGAGGAATATTAACACGTTCAATTGTTTTTTTTTTTTTGGATATTTAGGCCGAGTAAGATAGATTCACACACACGTCGCACACACAAAACTCAACTCAAAATCTCTTAGTTGATAGCTTAAGCTCTCAACCAACAGATCAGCTGTGTAGGCGTTCAAGTGTTATTGAATGTTTTTCATAAACTGGAATCTCCTTGTATGTGAACATATGATGCATTGTAAGAAATATTTTTTTTGTTTCTTTCCGATATTTTTTCTGTTGGAAAGTTCATTCAATTATGGACTGTTTGATTTCAAAACAAAACTGCAGTGATTTTTCATGGTTTATTTACTCCAAAGCATTCTGCAAACCTTCGTTTAATTACAGGTCTGATTGGAGTTGGGCATTTGTGATTATTTTTAATAAATTAGTAAAAATGAACGCAAATCACGACTCAGTAATGGAAGGAAATATTGAGTCATTTGCTTAAAACTATAATGAGTAGTTTTTTTTTAATATTTAAATTTAATTTTATAATTATAAGGGAACAATTAATATATTTTAACTTAGTTTGAATCATTTTTAATCATTTAATTAATATAATCTTTTAATAAAATGATGATGAGACGTATAATGGTTTATGTAATAAAATGTTGGTCGTTAAAATATAAGTATAAATTTGAGCTAAGTGTTGTTGAGATGAAGATGCTCGGGTGGATGAGTAACATTATCTTTAAACAATAGAATGCAAAATGAGTATATACGTGAAAATGTTGAAGCAGCTTTAATGAAAGACCTTATCATGATTTGATTAGAAGAGTAGATGTATTAAATATGGTCTATATTAAGAAAGATAAATGTAAAATCTAAAAAATTTATTTAGAAATTATTTCAAATGATGTTTTTTATTAAATTGAAATGTTTATTTGCCTCTTAATAAATAGAATGAAAAAAAAAAAAAAATCATATAGCGGCCCTACTGAGTGGGATAAATGATAAATTGTTCATGTTGTTGCAATATTTAATTAATACAAATTTTTAAATTTGCATTTACAAGCCAGCAGGTACATTCAAAGTTCAAACCCATTAAATTAAACTTAAATTTTAATTTAAAATAGATTGACAATCCGTACATCCAAAAAAAAAAGTTCGAAGTCTAAAATTTGCTTCAAATTTAACTTAACATTTACTTAAAATTTGATTCAAAAAGTTTTAGAGTTAATTCTATGAAAATTTTGATCCGAATATTGTAATATAATTTTTTTACTGATTTTATCTTCAAAATTAGGAATTTCAAATACATATATTATCGTGATTCAATAAAAAAATAAAATTGAAATTTTAATTGCCAATTAGTTAGAAATTTAATAAATATGTGCCCGCTACAGTTAGAGGTGTTAATATTTGACACGGCTTGAAACTTGACCATGAAAGTTCCGGGTTCGAGTCAACCCGTTTTATTTACTGGTTGGGATCGGGTTGACAAAGTCAACCAATTTCAAAATCTGAGTCGGGTTGACCTGGCAACCCCAAATTGACTCGGTTGATCCATTTAGAAATCACAGGTTATGGCATTCTGCTGATTAGCCTGTTCGCGAGTCGTTCTCCGCAATCTGAATCTTCGGGACTTCAAATTGCTTGCCACGACCGTCCTCCGCCACAACTTATCCAACCATCTGGGCCTACGACTTTCGTCGTTTGTCAAGACGCCGTTTGTCAGGACAAGTGACGCAGGAGCATCCCTTTAAATAAATTGTATTTTCTTGTTAGTGATTGGTGTAGCTCTATTTCTTGTGTAGCCTATTATGTGACAACCTGAAGTCTATAAATATAGGCCAATGTCTTGTAATAAGGATAGATTTTTTATATGAATATGATTTGAGTTTAGTCTCATGTGTTTCCTTTATCCTAATAGTGATTCTTAGGTGGTGGATCTTTCTTCCAAGAAGTTCTTGGAGCGGTGTCCGGCGACCGTCACCGGATCATCGACATGGATTCGTCGAGGCCCCTACCTGACCGATGTCAACAAGGCGGCACTGTTGCAGCTTGTCCAACCTTCAAAGCTCCTTGTTCCACGGGTTCCACCTTTCCGCCGTCCTTCCTCCATTGTCTGCCAAGCTGAGGCGATAGCTTGTCCTGCCGGTCATCCTTCCTCCGCCGTCTGCCAGGCCGAGGCGCCGCACACCCTAAACTCCGCCTTCAAAGCCCCTCCAATGGCCTCAGTTCGCAACCACGTCCCCGGGTTTGCATGTCCCCTGTTCCGGTCGGGTTAACCCGTAATCCGCGAGGGTCAGATCCGAGTTGGATATCCGGACCCGTTTATAAAAATGAATCAGATTAGTACCACATACCTATTTTGACACCCTTAACTACAAGAGGACAGAAGAGTTAACATCTGAGTTCTAATTGTTTTACACGCGCAGAATTAATTAATAAACAACCATTTAAATTCAGAAGCCGATGTGATGGTCTGATTCCATGCTTCTACGCCCTTACGGTCACCGAGCTCTCCAATGTTGCAACAGAGTTCCTCTTCCCGCCGTAGAATCCCATTCTCCATTAATCCCAACCCTCCTCCCAACTTCTTCTCCATGCCCTCTCGCCATCTCTCACCCGCTCCTCCCCATCCATGCGGCACTTCGGTCCGGCGGCATCCTCGACTCCTCGGCCGTCACCCGGGCACTCAAGTCCTCCGTGGATGTCTTCACCGGCGAACAAATTCATTCCTTTTCCATCTCCTCTGGCCTCAAATCCTTCGTAGCTGTATCCAACTCCCTAATCAGCTTCTACTGCAAATCTGGTTCATTTAGCAGTGCTGTCAAGTTGTTCGACGACATGCCTGACCGAGATGTCATTTCCTGGAACACCATTCTCTGTGGCTTCGCTTCCGGCCACGATGCTTTATGTTTCACACAGAGAATGAGACGAGCTGGGGTTCCTAGTGACCCTGTGACTGTCACTACTGCTCTGTCCATCTCAGGAGATCTACAAGATATCGACTTTGTCCGCCAGCTGCATTCCATTGCTTTCAAATCTGGGTATGGTTACGACGAATTTGTGTGCAATGCTCTAATTACTGCTTATTCCAGGCGGGCCTGTTTTTCGGATGCCAAGTTTGTGTTTGACGAAATGCCTGTTACAACTTTGGTTTCATGGAATGCGCTGATATCCGGGCTCAGTCAAGAAGGATATTTCGGACTTGAGGCAATTAAGCTTTTTGTTAGAATGGTTTCTGTTGAAGGCTTGATCCCTGACCATATCTCTCTCGCGAGTGCTATTACAGCTTGTGCACAGGAATCAAACTTTTGTCTTGGACGCCAAATACACGGCTCTGCAACCAAAATAGGCCTCGTTACTCATATATCAGTTTCAAATGTTCTCATGTCTATGTACTACAAGTATGATGATGTCGACTGTGCTACCAAAGTTTTTTTTGATATGGAAGATAGGAATGTCATTTCATGGACTACCATGATTTGCATAGATTCAAGCAGTGCTGTTTCTCTATTTAACAGCATGAGAATGGATGGAATACAGCCTAATGATGTAACTTTTGTTGTTTTGGCTAATTCTGTATCTCCCAAAAATTTCATTCAAGAGGGTGAAATGATTCATGGCGTCTGCTTCAAGACCAGATTTTCCACTGAAGTTACTGTGTCAAACACCCTGATAACTATGTATGCAAAGTTATCCTACATGGAAGGTGCAAGAAAGATATTTGAAGAAATGGAGAACAAGGAAATAGTAACTTGGAATTCTTTGGTGTCTGGCTATGCGCAGAATGGGCTTTGTGATGAAGCTCTCCGAATGTTCTCCTCAGCTATTATGCACTGCAAGCCAAACCATTATACATTTGCAAGTGTTATTAGTGCTATTACTTCTGCTCAAACCATTTACTTAACATATGGTCAGAGATGCCATTGTTCGATCCTTAAGCTGGGTCTCAATACTAATGAACATGTGGCTGGTACACTAATTGACATGTATGCAAAGCGAGGCAGCATCGACGAATCCTTGATGGCATTTGGTGAAACAGTCAACAGGAGCTTGATCAGTTGGACTGCAATCATTTCTGCATATGCAAAGCATGGTAGTTTTGAGATTGTTATGAAACTGTTTGAAGAAATGCTGAGTTCCTATGTTCGGCCTGATCATATAACCTTCCTGGCAATTCTTACAGCTTGTTGCTGTAGTGGGATGGTTACTGTGGGACAGAAGATTTTTTATATGATGGTAATTGAATACAAGCTTCAGCCATGGCCGGAGCATTATGGTTGTATAGTTGATATGCTGGGGAAAGCTGGGAAATTAGTGGAGGCTGAAGAATTTCTGGAGAAAATACCCAATGGGCCCGGGATTTCAGCATTACAGAGCTTGCTGGGGGCTTGTAGGCTTCACGGGGATATGGAGATGGGTAAGAGAGCAGCAGGGGCTTTAATGGAGAAGGAGCCATTAGAGTCTGGGCCTTATGTGCTCATGTCAAATATATATGCAGATGCTGGGGAGTGGGAAAATGCAGCAAGAGTTAGGAAAAGGATGAGAAATAGAGGTGTGAAAAAAGAAGTGGCCTTCAGTTGGGTAGATGTGAGAATGGCGGATTTGTTACACATGCACAAGTTCTCTTCAGATGATAATACTCATCCACTATCAGAACAGATATACGGAGTTGCAGAGAGTTTAGGGATGGAGATGAAACTAATGGAAGAAGAGGCATTATTAGCAGCTTAAAGTGTGAGCTTTATGCACTTTGGATTATGTCCATGGCCGGCAATTCATAGAGAGTTTTTATGAATATTTCTATCTTCTCTGCTTGGCTTGCTGATCTAATTAGTTAACTCCGGGGGTTGTGAAGCAAAATATGAAGCTTTCTCCGGGTTGGGATGTATTTTTTCTGCTTGTGCATAGTCATCGTTCAATGGATTGACTTCATGAGCAGTACTATATGGCAGCGGAAGGCTAACTTGTTTCAAATGGGGTAAGCAGGTAAGGGCATTTCCAACTGAAAAACTTGTTTTTCACTCTAAAGCGCAGTGAAACTTCAAAATGTTGTGATTCATCTCCAATCGATCTGCATTTCTTTCTTCTTTTGCAAGCTTCCTGCGAACGTAACAATCTCTCTCCTCTTTTGCGCCCTTTTCTCCTCTTTCGCCCTCGTCTTCGGCAAATTCGGCAACTCAATTTTTTGTTGTAGGTGAATAGTGTGATGCTAATATTGGCGTTGCACTGTTCAGCTACGGAATTTTGGCGTGAGATTTGAAGTTCGAATGCAGCGAATGGCAGACAACATTCGGTGGCATGTAGTTCGGTTGGAGATGGTCTAATCCTTATAAATTGCCGGCCATACCATTTTAAGTGCTGTTTATTTTTTATTTGGAAATTGAAATGACGAGCAATAAATTATAATAAAATATCTGATTTGAATCTATGATCTTGGAGAAACAATCATCTCCTCTGATCAGTGGGATCATCACATACCTCTCAAGCGAGCAGAAAGTTTGTCTTTTATGAAGACATGCATATCATGACTAATTTATTATTAGTATTGTATGCTGGAAATCAAGTTGATCGAGTGAGGAAAATTCTTGATCTTTTTAATTTTTTTAATATTATCCACACACAAGCAATCAAATATAGAAGATAGTGGGCTACAAGATTTTTTTAATGCAGAAATTCTAGTAAGAGTAAATATCAGGGGCCCAATTGATAGGAAATACTCGAAGATCTCAAGTGAAACTTAACGATCTTGACAAAATCAGCGAGAATACTCAACAAGTAGAGGAAAAATCAAAGAAAAAAACATGCCATGGTGAAGATGCATTAAATGTTGCAGGATATTAATATTTAATTTTAAATGTTACACCCAAAGCCTTAAATAGAATACCGTGACTTGGCTTTAGGTCGAAAATACATAAATATTAAATGCTCAGGAGAACTAATATGTCTTTCTCTCAAATCTCTTGATAAACCCACGGATGCTTAGCTCGGTTGGGAACCTTCCATCCCAAGTTCGATTCTCTTGAGCGGCAGTCGGCCCTTCAGTGGGGGCTCCAAAGCGCCGGCTATGGGTTTGTGGCCTGGGTGGCCAATTAGGTCGGCCGGGGTTTACGGACCGCCAAGCACGCTTGACAATGTTGGGTGTGGCAACGGACGGTTCCTCGTCATAAAAAAAAAAAATCTCATGATAATAAATTTAAATATTTTCTTTAGGATAGCAGAAAATGCGAGTCCGTCCATCTTTGGTCTACGAAATCCAACAGTATGTCAGTTTTAACAATCTTCTTTATCCATAGTGTTTGGAATAGATTTCTTATCATTTTCTAAAATAATTTTTTAACACAAAAAATTTTTGAATTAGAAAATTTTGTACTAAGAAATTGCTTTAGAAAGCAATGAGAAAACCGTTCCAAATGAAGCCAAAATTGATAAAATCTTAATTTTGAAAGTGAAAAGATTATGCAAAATAAAAATGATTAATTGATTGATTAAGTTAATTAATAATATTATATCTACTAATCAAATTAAAATTAATTTAGTTTTTTTTGTTGTTAGTTTTCTGACTCACAAGTTCCTAAATAGAGAGTTAGGGAGAAAATGAAATTACATCAATATTTTGATGAATTTGAATGATTCACATAATTTATTTGATTTATATAATGACATTCTTAACCAATTATTGTTAATGATAATTTTAATAATTAACTATTATTAAGATGAGGCCATATAAAATCATCTAATTTTAAAAAATTATGGTAGTATTCTACTATTCAATATATGTAATTAGGTTTTGTATGGGTAAATTTTCTTATTGTTTTTTTAAACAATTTTTTT